CCACCCCCACCCACTCCAGGGCCGACATCCGGCCGCAGGGTCCGTTTCCCTCCACCCAACCCCACTCACTCCAGGGCCGGCGACTGGAGGTGCAAGCCTCCGGCTGCCGGGTCCGTTTCCACCCTCCCCCACTCCAGGACCGGAGACAGGAGGCAGAAGCCTCCGGTCGCCCACTCCCTTCCCCTCCCCCACCACCCACTCCCAACAGGCACTGAGGGGAATGTAGGGTTGCCAGCTCTAAGGAGGGAAATACCTGGAGGTTTGGGGGGTGGATTCTGTAGAGGGCAGCATTGGGCGGGGGGGGGGCGGAAGGACTCAGCAGGTATAATGTCATAGGGTCTACCCTCCTAAAGCAGTCATTTTCTCTAGGGGAACTGATCTCTGTCATCTGGAGATCAATTGTAACAGTGGGAGATCTCCAGGTCCCACCTGGAGATTGGCAACCCTAGGGGGAAGTCAGCTGCACAGCAGGGGGTTGAAGAGAATGGTTTGATGGCTGCTGGGCCAAGATTGGCAACAATAGTTCCCCAGGAGCCCCATCGTAAATGCACCAAACAATTCCTCAAGATTTTCCAAAACACTTCTCTGTTTTGGGCTCCTGGGGAACTTTGAAGTAGCACCAAAGCTTTAAGATCTCTCCAGCTGTCACCTGGAGACTGGCAACAGCTTGTCTGGAGTGTGGGCAGTATGGCATTGTATCTGTCTGAGGTCCCCCTCTTCCTCCTCCTCCTCAGATCCCACCCTCAGCAGGCTTCATCCCTAAAATATCCTGGAAGTTTCCAACCTGGAGTTGGCAACCCTATGTCCTGGAGTTCGAACCTGGAGTTGGCAACCATCAGCCAACGTTTATCTGCCTGTCTGTCTTTACAACCCCCCCACACACACACACACAGCCTCTGCCTAGGGAGCAGCTGACATCATTCTCCTCTCCCAACTGAAAATTCCAACTGCCTTGCGGGGGGGGGCGTGAGTTTGAGGTGTGGAATGGAGTGTAGTCCAATCAGCTTCCATATGTAAATGACCTTGGAACACTGGCCCGGACTGCACAAAGCAGCCAATGAACCCAGCCAGTGTCTTCCGAGTGGCAGTTTTTTCAGCCTAACACTAAAGGGGCCAATTTTAGAACTTTGGCACCCACTATTCTTTTATTATAAGGGAGATATATATATATTACTTTTAAAAGATAGGGCTACAGAAAGGAAAAAAGGGAAATACATAATATTTGCATTAACATTTATCAAGGACATTCATTTGTATGTAATTTATAATGTATAACGCATTTACAAAGCATAATTACAAATGCTTTTCTACTCTACCCCCTGGACAAAACATTTGTTACATCTACATCATAGAAGGAAGAGGTAAGAATATGACAAATATTTTAATTCTATCTCAGATTTCTAAATATGCTATACACCCTATATATAATAAATTGTGATAGATTAAATGTGGTTATTTAACAGACCTTAATTTTGACATAAATATGTTCCTCTATATTGAGCCCTTTTAATTCTTGATGATTTAAAAACAGCATCGTAAAAAGATCTTACAACCGATATTAGAAGACTATATTGATACAATAGAAAAGCTATTGTATAATAAATGTAGATACTGGAAGATAAGTATATCCCCCCACACTTGTACACTTTTCAATTGCTTCAGAAGGATCAGATATAGTACAGTATTTTATACATAAAACTTCAAAAACTTGTATCTCCTCTCCTCAAACTTTACCCAGAATATGAGTAATAAGATCTCAGTTTCTCTTGAAATTCTTTGTTTGGTCTTTTGTTCACACAACTTGTTAATTTTGCCCATTAACTGCGTGTTCTGCCAGTTTGTCTTTCCAAGTCTCTTGAGCTGGGCATTCTTCTGCTTTCCATTTTGTTGCTAATGTTACACCCACCACAGTTAACATATATCTAAGTAGTTCTTGTGAAGTTCTTTCAATATTGTCTGGTAAGATTTCCAATAGCATAATCACCTGAGGACTGTTTTCTGAATGTAATTTCAGGCTGTCGTGTTTTATGCCGTTGACTTAAAAGTTTATTGTATTATGCTTACCTTGTGAGTGCCATATATATCTGGAAAGGTGGCATATATATTTCAAAGTGACCTTTGATGACTTTGAAGTACGGCGGTTTAGTTATAATTGCCATCGGCTTGTGCCCAGGGACTGTGGGTCTAGATTTCAGATTCCTCCCATTAGGAGCCAGCAGGGGGTCTCTACATTTGACAAAAAATTGGGAAGGCAACTATATCAGTGGCTGTTAGCCATAGTAGCTAAGTGGAACTCCCATGTTTAGAGGCAGTGTACCTCTTAATATCAGATACTGAGGACAAACTATGCAGAAGGTATGTTACATTTGTGTCAGGATTGCTGGCTTGACTGGCCATTATTTCAGACAGGGTGCTGGGCTGGATGGATTCTTGGTCTGATCCACCAGGACTCCTCTTATTTTGTGTTTGTGGTCCTAAGAGTAACATCATGTAACCCCAGTAATATGGGCAGAGTGAGAAAGAAGGGTTAAGAGCTTTTTACTGCCCTTCATCGTCCTTTATAGATCTTTTGAGGCTAGAATTCAGTTTATTATGAGTGCATTGAGAAGGTTCATATTTTCACAAGGTTGTCCTATGTGAACTTTCCTGCCATTTTGTTGTAGGATGAAAATGTTGTTGTGTGATGAAATTCCAGATTAGTTACTTTATATCAATATGTTTATATTGTGGTGTGTTTTTGAAGCCTTGCTGGAAACAACATGTGAAAATAGACAGACACATAATCTGTTACAGGATAAAGGAAATGGGGAGAGAGCAAAATGGAGGACCAAGATCATTGGAAGAGAGTAACCTCACAGAAGACTGTAGGGTGCTGTAGGGCTTGGTTGTGGGCCCAGTGCTTTTTAGCATTTTTATCAATGATCTCTAAATCATGAAGGGACTACTGATTAAATTTGCAGATGAAACCAAATTAGGTGGGATAGTGAATGCTTCAGAAGATAGAGATAAAGTATGATCAGACTTGGATACATCAGAAAAACTGGCAGATGTGAACAAGATGTGGTTTAATAGAGATAAATGTAATATTTGGGGTCTGTCAAAATACATTTTATTGTGATATATGTCTGATTAAAGTACAGAAACCAATAGATTTTGTGTATGGGTAGTAAAAATATTATGCACGCAGATTGGATGGGGAATACTCTTCTGGGGAGTAGCGTGTGTGAACATGATCTTGAGGTTTTAGTGGATTGCAAATTGAGTATGATTAGCCAGTGTGATGCAGCAGCAAGGAAGGCAAACTCGATCATAGGGTGTATCAACAAACACATTGTCTAGGACCTGAGTTGTGATCGCACCACTGTATATTGCACTGGTGAGACCCCACTTGGAGTGTTGTGTCCAGTTCTGGAGGCCTTTTTATAGGAAGGACATAGGAACTTTTGAGCGGGGGCAGAGGAGAGTGACGGGGATAATTAGAAGTTTGGGGACTAAGCCTTTTGAAGAAAGGCCGTGGGAATAGGGAATGTTCCACCTGGGGAAGAGGAGGTTGAGGAGGAGTGTGATTACTCTTGCCTGTCACTGCGAGGAGACGCTATTTCAGTTGGTAGGGGAGGATAAGGACTTATTACAATGGGTTTAAATTACGGGTGGGGAGATACCGGTGTGATATTAGGAAAACCTTTTTAACAATAAGGGCAGTTCATTGGTGGAATTGGTTGCTCAGGGATGTTTTGGGCTCTCCCTCGTTGGAGGTGTTTAAGCAGAGGAGGGTAATCATTTGTCAGGAATGCTTTAGGTTGTCCCGTGTGGTACAGGGGGGTGAACTGGAGGGTCTTTAGGCCCCTTCCAGCTTCTTAATTCTATGATTCTATGACTATGGTTAGGAAGGAAGTTGGCAGAGTAGTGTTGGGGATTGAGATTGTGGAGAGCAAGGGCGGTCCGGGGGAGGGAAACTGTTTGGGGTTTAGCATCAAGGGACGGAGGAGCTGGTAAGCAACAGAGGCGACAAGGGGAGGGAGTTCTTCCTTGTCTGTTGACGGATATGGAGGGTGTGTGTAGATATTTTACAAAACATTGGCTACAGGTTCCTGTGTGTCTGGGAACATTGTTTGTTTAGAGCAAATATACTCTGCCTTCGTACCACTATTTGCAACCCAGACAGCTTATAAAACGGTAAACAGTTTAAAATAAAAACATTGACATTTTGTTAAAGATCAAAACAAAAATGGCCGCGATGAGTCTCAGCTGCTCTTCTCCATCCTTGTAGCATTACTGGAGGGGTTGGGAAAATAAGCTGGTAAAACTCCCCACGGTCTAGCCCACTGATGCGCTTGCTGTTTCTTTAAGAGCTTCAGGGACATATAGCTCCTCCTCCAGAACTAGTTGTCAAGCAGGCTAAACGGCAGATGTCAGTGGTCAGTGCACAGTTATGGGGGGGGGCAGAACTTCTTAAAGCCGTACTAGTGGCTCCCTGGTCTGCAACGCTGATGGATAGGCGGCTAAACTCTGATGGTCCTGGGCCTGCCACCCTGCTGTCGGTCCTAGAACTTTGAGAACCAGTCTAATGTAGTTGTTTCTTGGACTAGGACTGGGGAAAAACAGGTTGAAATCTCCATTCATCCATCAAGCTCTCTGGGATGACCTTGCATGCCTTTCTGTTCATGGTTATCCTGTGTCTACCAATACGTGCTTGGTGAATTTTCTTGAGCCCCAATGTTTTCTGGGTCCCATGTATGAGACCCTGTGTCTCATAATAAATGCCTGTGTGAACTAATTGTATGCTCCATGTGAGAACATTCTGTGTAGATTTCTAAATCTTCCCTTTCCCCATTTTCTCAAGAACTAGGTATAGAAAGGCAATATGAAGAGGCTCTGGGTTCACAGCTGATGTTAGAACTTTTGGTGTCACGACAGATAAAATTAGTCCATTCCCCCCCGTTTTGAAACATACTTTATAATACAAACAAAAATCTAATAAATCAGATATACATGTTCTTATTTCGTTTTAGATATACCTGTTTCAAAATGTGCGTCTGCACCACCAGTCTGGTCCGCAGAGGCTGAGAGACCCATCGCTCAGCACACCACAGCAACCAGCTTGAAAAAGCCCGGGTTCAACCTCTCTGCCTTTGGAGCCCTCTCCCCTGTAAGTACAGCACAATGCATGCTTCAGCCACGTTGCTTTACTATCCACTTTGCTAATCGGATGTCAATGTTTGTCCTCAGTCACTGGGTAATACGTCGGTTCTTAAGACGAGCCAGCTCGGGAATTCTCCATTTTATCCTGGGAAAACCACGTATGGAGGTGCGGCTGCAGCAGCCAGGCAATCCAAAGCACGGATTACTCCTTATCAGGTAAGAGAGATGCTGGAAAAGTGGGGATAGGGGAATAGGAGAAATCACACATATTGATTGTGGTTATGAAAGTCCCCTATTTGCACTACGCATAGGAATCTGAGCTGTGTACCATTATCAGTACTCAGTTGTTTGTAATGACAGTATGTCAGCAAGCTGCCAATATGTCTTTTCCATGTATATGAGATGTGTCCATTCCCCCGCCCCCCCCTCTTTGCCCCTCTTTCCCTGGGCTGACTTAGACTCTTGTGTGCATGTTCCCCCTCACCCTCATGCGTTCATCTTCAACTGCATTCCTTTCCATGTACGCTAGCAGTGCTTTGAAGGAACCTTATCTGCCAAGGCTACAGGTGGTTCGCGTTTGGAGGCTTTTTGCTTAGTCTATAATGAACAGTAGTGTGAGAATAGAATAATTGTTTAATCAGCTACAACCGTTGCTTTCTCAGGGTTTGGGCACGTGATGAGTCCTCAGGGCGGGCGCGGGAACCATATCTATTGGCCCATGTTATTTTGAACTTGCTTTATTATACCTGTCTCAAGCACCTTGTGTTATTCTGAACAGAGAATCTGTTCTAAGTACTTCATGGCTTCAATAAAATAAAACCTTCCTGCAAGAGTGTATTTCATTGTTTGCTGTGAGTCTGACACAGTAATTTTTTGAGTGGCTTGTAGACATATAGGCCTGGAATAAAAACCTGCTTTTTAACGATACAATAGTGGCTGTTTCTGCTTTTAAGGGGTGTTTTCTCCAATAGGCTTGATAGTAATTCTTTAGTGAAGTAATGAAAGCGAAGTAGTTATATTCTATCTGTCCAGTACATTTTTATCCAGAACCCCTCCCACCCCTTTAAGAACTCAGGGCAGCACACCTAGTTCTCCTCTCCCAAGTTTATCCTCACAGTCATCCTGCGAGGTAGGTTAAGATGTGAAAATGACTGTCCCAAGTTCATCCCGTTACTTAGGAGTAACTGATCCAGGTGCGCTTTGTTGCAGAGTGGGGATCTGGTCTCCCAGATCCCTGTATGACACTCTGACCACTGGACTAGATTCCCCCCAGAAGAATTCCGCACGTGCAGCAGTCCTCATGCAAGCACTAGAATTACTCTTTCCTCTCTCCTTGTGTTAAGTGAAAGCAATTCACTGGCCTTTCATTTAAAATTGTGTTGAAGTGCTGAGTGTCGCTGCAGCTCTTGCGCTATTGTTTCCGCAAGCAGAACCTTTTCCTTCCCGCCCATGCACTGTTAGACTCAAGCCATTGCTCCACAGTGACTGTCATGCAATGTTGCATTGTAAACATATAAGAAACTCCAAGGACTTCTCTCTGTCTGTCCCTCCCCCATTTTTATTTATTAAATTATTTGTTAATACAGTTAATGCAGCTTACTTGATACAATTCCAGAAATAAGCAATACCAGAAATCATAACTTGTAACATCCCATGCCTTGTCCACATTACAATAAAGTCAAATATTCCATGTTTTTTTGGAACCACTCCCACACACTTCAAGTAATGTAATGCAACAGACCACACTTCGACAAAATGAGGTGAATTAGATTCGAGTTGTTTCAACTTATAAGTAATTCTTTCCCATAATACAAACATCTCCCATATCTTAGGGTGCCTTGAGTTACTGGGGGTGAACAGTCCCCAATGGCCTGTCCATCATTTTTAAAGTACATGTAGTCTGTTTGACAACATCATAAGTTTTCAATAGATGACATGTGCAACAGAGGTTGTAATCATCACGAGCGCCTACCCGTCCATAGACTTGTCCACAGCAATTACTTTAACCAATTCAGGGCTGCAACTATGTACATACATAATAGGGGTTAAAAAATGGTGCCACATGGGAAGGACACCTAAATCCTAATATGCTGACAACCTTATTCATACACCTCCAACAAACCAAAATACAACAAAATGGCTTCTGACAACCTTCCAGGATAAATCCAGTAAAATGGCCTATACGGAAAACAGCCTGTTTGGACAAAAGAAAAAACGACTACCTCAAAAGTTGGCTTTGGCCTCGGGACACCATCCCCACCAGCAAGACAACTTAAGGACAAATCTGGTTAAGTCCCTGAGTAACTGTGCTAGGATACTTGAGTAGTGTGTTAATCCTACTCCACTGGATCACCCCTTTAAGTAATGGTGCCAAAGCAAGCATCAAGACATTGGGGGGTGCTGGCCTGATGGGCACAGTTGGGTTCAACATTTCATTGGCGCATCCTCTCCCCCCCCCCCCAAGATGGGACTGTGTAGCCCTTTGTTGGCGTAAGTCCTTGTCATGCGACACCACTGGGGAGGAGACAGAATGTTTGCTCTTAGTTGGCAAAATTAGAATTTTCATGCCGTTGCCTGGTGAGAACCATAAGGAGGTGGTAACACCCCACCCCCATTACTGTCCCCATAACCAGACCCATAGCTGTTAGTCATAGTTACACCCTCTGTCATTCTTCAGAAAGCGCAAATTAGGCCTGTTTGTACTGTTATTTCCCTTTGTAATATAGAACAGAAAGTTATTTATGGTCTTTCATGGAATATGTTGGCCCTATAATGTTTTTTAGCTTAGTCCCACATTAATGCATGCAAAAATATGATTTTATTTTAAAAAGTATCCTTAAATGTATTTTGGCTATATCCTTACTATACTTTTGTTTCTCCTGTGCTCCTTCGTTGTGCTCCCTTTGTTGTAGTCCTCATTATAAAAACATAGGATCGTAAAATCTGGGGGAGGAAGGTCACGGGGAGAGGTTTTTTCCAAAGGTAAAACTCTGGAAGTATGCTGTCTGCACTTTTGTTGAATAAATAAAAGGTTTGGACACACTATGAAGCCAGGAGATAAACCTTTCATGGTTACCTGACCCACAAAACATAACACTATAGAGCAGGGGTGTCAAACATAAGGCCCGGGGGCCGGATCCGGCCCGTCCAGGGCTCTTATGCGGCCCACAAGCAACTGCTGCAAGGAGGGAATGCGGGTGTGTGTGTGTGAGTGGGTGGGCGGAGCCACTCCATTATGGCTTTATCACAGAACAAGCTTGCCTACCTCAGTCAAGCATCGTGGGAGCATCTGCCCAGCAAAGCACTGCTGCCTCTCCGGTCTGCCTCTGTGGGTTTTCTTCTGCGCCCGCCTCCCACCCCAGGAGGCCTTGCGGTGAGGACACACCAACTCGGAGCTTACCAGCTGCTGTCCTTTATACAGTTTCTGTCTCCAGTACGTTTTATGGCATACATGGCCCAGCCCGACAAAGAGGCATTAATGTCAGATCCAGCCCTTGTAACTAATGAGTTTGACACCATTTGTGGGGGACCTGTCCCTGAGATCATAACAAATGGTGAAATTTACAAATACTGGGAGGCGACTGAGTATTGAAGTATCCCAATTTCTTACACAATGTAATGATTGCAATGATGGCACAGAGGGAATAAAAACAGGGTGTAAGAAGTATCACATGATCAGACCATGGGCTGTGAACAAGAAGTCACAAATCCACAAATTTGTCCCTTCAAATCCCTTCTGAAACTTGGAATACCAGTGCAAGAGTTGACTTACACTTGTAACGGTGTGTGCACATACAGGCTGGAACCCAGCATTATAACAATTATAACCGTTTGCAATGTTTAATGTTTCAGACGCCAATAAGAAGGCAAATGAAAGCCAAGCAAGTGAACGCACAGTCCTATGGAGTGACAAGTTCCACTGCACGACGTATCCTGCAGTCTCTGGAGAAGATGTCAAGCCCACTAGCAGTAAATTGCTCTCTTTGAAAAGCTTTTTTTCAGTTCATCGTATGAACACTTTCTAAGTATTGTGTTCTGTTAAAAAAAATTGCTTTGTATACCTGTCATTTAACTTCCTGTAATGCTTATTCAACAGGATGCTAAAAGAATTCCTTCTTCTGTTTCTTCATCATTGTCTTCTGTAAGTTAGTCTTCAAACTTTTTTTAATGCAGAGAAACCTTATTTTTAAAATCATGCTTCTTAATCTTGTGTTCTGTTTTCCAGCCTGCAGAAAGAAGTACACTGAATGTCACTGACTTTCATTCGCCAAGAATAAGGGTAAATTCAGCTTAAACCTAATTGGTACAAACTTTATTTACATCTTTGATACATATAAGTGACATGTAACCACCATATACAGGTGAAGTGGTGTAGTGGTTAGGAGTGTGGACTGTAATCTGGGAGAGCCGGGTTTATTTATTTATTTAATTAATTAATTCAATTTATACCCCGCCCTCCCCGCAATGCGGGCTCAGGGCGGCTTACATAGGGGCAAACGCCAATATAAAATGCCCTCCCCACTCCTCCACATGCAGCTGCTGGTGTGACCTTTGGGTCAGTCATATGTTCTTTCAGAGCTGTTCTCTCATGGGCAGTTCTCAAGAGAGTGCCCCACCTACCTCACAGGGTGTCTTTTGTGGGAAGTGAAAGGGACTGTAAACCGCTCTGAGACTCCTTCGGGTAGTGAAGGGCGGGGTATAAATCCAATCTCCTCCTCCTCCTCGCAAAATATTAGTGGGAGCAAAAATATTATTGGGAGCACTAAAGTAGACTTTTATAAAACTAAAATTGTATACACAATGGTGTCTGGAGCTGCCTACATCCCGCACTGACCCTGTATCCTCTACCGTTACCATCACAAATTAGTCTGTGTCATCTAGATTAAAGTGGAAAATAAAGAAACCAGGAGAGATTTGAGTTTATGTGCAAGAGGTGCTATGTTGTTAAGCAGTTATACTCTTCTGCACATTACAGCAGAAAGCAAAGCCTCCAGCATAGTTTTACTAGCTCCCCTGTCTCCTAATGAGTGTCTGGTATGTCCTGTGGATGAAAATACGAGACACAGCTCCTCCCCTAATGTTGTCATGATTCTTTTTTTTTTATGTGGCTTGCTTTGTAATATGCAGAGTATAAGTACAGTAGGCTTCAGGAAATAATCGTTTTCTAGGAGCTTACTTTCCAAAGGGAAATTACTATGTCTGAACAGATGAGGAGTCCTGTGGCACCTTAAAGGCCAAAATTTACTTTAGGATAAGTTTCTGGCTATATCTGATGAAAGTGGACTTCAGCTGGCGAGAGCTTCTGCTGTTGTAAATGTGTTGATCTTTAAGGTACCGCACGATTTTGCCTTTGCAAAGCTTTGGAGGCCAACCTAGCTACCTCACTGGAATACGTTATACTGAAATCAGTTGTGCCTCCTAAAGGTCAACACTAGTCTCCTGTCACAGAGACGGTGAACCGAAAATAAAGCGGTAAAAGTTTCGCAACAATTGCTTCCCTTTGGGATTTAAAATGGTGTGGAAAGCATTAACAAATAAGGCATCACATCATTTTTCCTGTCTTCTTATATATCAAGATTATTGTGTTTGGAAATATGGGTCAACTGTAAAAACAGCCCGTGCTGTTTTAAGTTTGCGTTTCTGTGCTAATTCTAGAAAGTACAACTTCCCTCATAAGGAGGAGTTTAGATTAATGTTTGTGCCATCATCAGTTCAGTCATCTGGTGCCCATACATTTAACCAGCTTTTCTAGACAAGATGGGGCTTCTCTCTTTTTTGGCACCAGTGGCCTCGTGCAGGCAAACAGGATTTTGTTGCAAGTTCTTAGGCTGCCGAAATGGTAAATAGTAACAGGCAATACATACTAGAAATGTCAGAGAGAAAACTAATGCTGTAGCCAGCTGTTACTGAGTGGAGATAGAAGGATTGTCTATTCATAGTGTAGAAAATGGTTGGCAGCAGTAATTCTTGGCCAACAGAGGTTTGTTAGTAGTTTGCTGCCAAAGGAAGAGGGCAGTCAATAGCACATTGAGAAATCAGTAAAATAAGTAGCGTAATGCGGCTTGTGTTCTGAAGTCCTGGCAATGCCAACACACCACTTACTTTCCCCTCTATACTCAAATAATTTGTACTTCTGTGCTTTGAATTGTTTCATTAATGCGGTTGCACAGTGAACGTTGTTTCGAAGTAGCTTGATGGTGGTCATGTGCAAACGGCATAGAATTCTCAAGTGGCTGTGATGAAGAAAGGCCCTTTCAAAAGAGTATGTGGTTCTTGTTGCTACTGAATAAATAACATTTGGTAGTGACTTCTGGAAACCAGTTTCTTTCTTTGTTGTAAAAGATTTGCGGCTGACATCTTAGCGTTAAACTATAAAGACTGGTTTCATTTAGAATACTTGACTTTTGTATCCAGGTTATTAATATCATTCTTCAGTAAAATAAATGATAAATCATTCCCCCCACAAGTAGCCTAAGTAGTCTGCATACTACTGAAACGCACTGATCATCAGAACATTGATGCCATCCATTTCAAGTTCTGTTTAGGGGGAAGTCGCCGCCGGGCTGTCCCCTCGCAAGAAGATCTGCTACAGGTATAGTTTGCCAGACTGAAAATACATGAGGTTAAAAACCTGCATTGTCTAGTACATATGTAGGTAACTGCAAATAACAGTTTTTCAAAAACTGAAATCCAGGAACCCACACAGGGGAGAGAGGATTTTTTTAACAACACATTTATTTTGGGTTACCACTTGATATCTATATATCTATTCCCGAAGCTGGTTAAGAAATAACCATCCAAAAGTTGTTAAATTATTAGTGAGGTTGATTGGAATGGTCAGCTTAGATGATAAACTAAATGATTAAATCTAGTTGAGATGCATATTTAACTTCTTTTTTAAAAAAAAATGCAATGGGTTGGATCCTACCGTTTAATTCCCATGGTATATATACAGTCTTCTAGCGCAAAGACGTTCTGTGCTCTTGTATTAAGGGAAGAGCCCTTGTACTGAAAGAACTTGCAAGTATCAAACGAGTGACATGGTATGCTTCAGTCTAGCGTGGGGATACATAGCCCCCTGTGAATTCAGACTCGGTTTCCATCATTTACACTTTGCCTTTCTCCCCAGTGTGGACCTAAAGTAGCTTACCTTGTTCCCTCCTCCATTTCATCTTCACAACAATCCTGTGAGGTAGGTTAGGCTGGGAGTATGTGACTGGCCCAAGGTCACCCAGTAAGCTTTCATGGCAGAGTGGGGATTCAAACCTGGGACTCCCGGATTGTAGTCCATCACTCCAGTCACTACACCAAACTGGCTTTCCAAGTCATGTGTTTCTTTGTGGTTGGGTATAAGATACAAGGATACATTTGTTGCAAATATGATTAGTACTAAGGCGTTTTTTTGCTGTTGCTGTTTTAAGACTGTATTGAGATCTGATTTACGGAATGAGGAATTATTCAGAGTTGATTAGCTCAGGTCACATTTCCAAGTCATGTGTTTCTTTGTGGTGGGTAGAAGATACAAGGATACCACATTTGTTGCAAATATGATTAGTACTAAGGCGTTTTTTGCTGTTGCTGTTTTAAGACTGTATTGAGATCTGATTTACGGAATGAGGAATTATTCAGAGTTGATTAGCTCAGGTCACATGGTCACCACTTTCCATTAAAAGTAGAGATTGTGTAATAACCAGTTCTATTCAGATTGGTTTTGATTCTCCGAATGCTGCTTCTTTTAAAGGCTGAGTCCCAGTATCCTCCAGTCCAGAAGCTTGTGACACCCAAATCTATTTCGCTGTCAATGAGTCGGTCGCAATATTTTAAACCATCTCTAACATCTGCTGCTGAATCAGGCAGGATTCGACCGAGAATAGAGATGAACCATGAAGTACGTATGCTTGAAAACATTGAACTATATACACCTTTCCTCACCTTAGAAATTCATTCACAATCTTAGGTAAATTTGATGCGGAGGTAGCTTCTACACGTTTTGTTTCATTTTTATTCCTTCATTGTACTGGTTACTTAGAGCAAACGTATCCAGACTATTAACTTGTATGATGTAAAGAAAATACGAAATATTCATAATACATTCTGCAATGTAGTAAACATCTTAAGTCATTTGTGAGAGAGAAAAGGCGTATGTAATAAACGTTGTGAATGTACTTTCCCTATCGAAAATAGCGGAGCAGCTTTATGTATGGAGTATGTAATCTACTAGGATGTTCATTCTTCTGTAGCGTTGAGCTGCAGTTAACACTGTGGGCTGGAAAGGCAGGTTAACGGGTACAATCGAGAAAAGGATCACATGGCATTGCTGATACGAAGAAATGCAGTGTGTACCTGGAAAGGTTTATTTTGGTGTCTTCAGACAGCAGGGGGCAGCCAAGGAGTACTACTGCACAACCCATTGAAAAAGCCAGGTGGGTGGGTGTGGGCTTAGAGAAAAACTAGAATCTGTGGCTTCTTGTCGCTCACATCTAGTCATATTTCCCCCCAAGAATAACATGGGGGGGGGGATCAAACAAAGAAGCTTGAGGCATTTTGTGTTTTTTTTTACAGGGAGTGCGGGAGAAAAATCCAGCAAAACAGCAAAGAGAACCATCAGAAAGGTATGTGAAGTCTTGTTCTAGACCTAGAGAAGCTACTGTGAACATGTATTGTGGCTTTTTTTAATCAGTAGCCTCTGTATGTGTCCCCCTTTCAAATTTAGTTAATGGAACACATTCACAGTCCTGAAATGTGATATTAATTGAAGTGTGCATGAACACGAAAGCTTATACCTTAAATAAAACTTCGTTGGTCTTAAAGGTGCCACTGGACAGGTTGCTTCAGACCAACATGGCTACCCACCTGAATTAATTGGAAAGAGCTGACTTAAAACAAACAGCAACTTTGCATTTCAGATACAGGTTCTGAAATGTTTATAAAGTGCAGTTCTGAACAGGAAAGAGGAGGTGTCAGTTGGCATTGTTCTGCAAACGAATTAGGATGAGTTTAGCAGTGTGGTAAAAGCTGGTGATGAATGATCGATTATTATACAAAATATTCAAATACTGGACAAAATGAGTGACGGTGAAGGGACAGCCACATTTTCCTTTCCGTAGAGAAATGGAATACAAGTCTACATGCTAACCCAACCACAGATAAAGAAGCAGAGGACTGATTACGTAAGGTCACCCTTTATTCTTCTAGCTGTTGGTAGAAAAAATACCAACTTCTCTGTTCTTTTTATATTTAAATGTTAAAGGGCATTTCCTTTAAAATACTTGCTGCATCCAAGGGAAGGGACTTTTCAACTTTCTTACCCAGTTTAAATACCTGCTCAACCACTTTTGCCATCTTAGGCAATTTCCAGATTCTGTTTTTCATATGTATATAGCATCTGTATACTAATAGCAAAGTCGGCCGAATCTTAGAATACTTAAATCCAGTGACTGGAGCTGTGAACTGGCAAGACAGATCTTTCTAGAATTCTGAAAAGGGCCCCAGATTTGCAGAAAAGTGTGAAATCTAAAGAGGAAAAAAAAGAGAGGGTTTAAAAAAATCCAGTAGATAAAAGAAGCACCTATACATTTAAACAAAGGATTCCGTCAGTAGCTGTTGCTAGGCAGTCACAATATTCCAGAATTCTGTGGTTAAAAAGGCAGGAGACGAAGGAGATTGGCAGTCACAGGCCTGGCAGGAGCCCACTGGGTGACTTGATACCACCTGACTTGCATGACTGAACTAGGTCTGGCTTCTTGCTACTGTTCAACAGTAGCCACCCTATGAAAGCCAGTATGCTGCAGTGGTTAGAGCTGGGGTGTCAAACTTAAGGCCCACCTATGGCTTTAATCTCCCTCTCCTCTTGTCCTCACCCTTCAAAGCTTGAGGCTGCCGAAGTTCCAAACTCCCTCCATCTTGTCTTCGCCTGCTTAAGCAGGAAGGTCCTCTAGACTTGCAAAGTTACAAAGAAAATATGGACACTGCTTTGACCCCCACTGTGGGGAAAGGTGGCGTATAAAGGTAGCAAATAAATAATAAAGATAACTGAAAATTGGGAGGCAGATAAAAGGTAGGTTAGTGAATGGCTGAGAAGGAGAGAAAGATATGGAAGTTGCCAGGAGGGGAGGAAAGGGGAAATAGTGCAGGGAGGGCGGATACAGGGGAAAGTGAGGTATGCAAGTGGTGCTGGTCCAGTGGCTGTCACCACCCGACTGGCCCTAGTCTTCCTACACAGGGGCTGCTGGAGTGGGGAGAGGGAAAGCTGAAGTTAGAGGAGCAGATAAATGTAGACTGGCTGTTGGGTGGGAATGTGAGAGTGAAGCAGGAAA